TACTTGGCGGAGAGCGGTTGAAGGCCACCGTCATCACTCCATTCGGCCACCTTCACCATGGCGCTGTTGACAGTCATTTCGACAACATGCAGTGTGTAGTTTACACGTCGGCCGTCATCGTTGAATTTAATGTCGCCGGTGAGACCTTCGATTTCCACCTGACGACGTGTTAGTTGAGGTTGAAATAAGCAAAAACAACAAAAAACAGGACAAAGAAGAAGAAGAAGAAGAAGAAGAAAAAGAAGAGAAGGATGAGCATGAGCGAATTTCTGTAATGAGTTTGCCGGTAGTGAACTTTTATACGAGTGTTTGTGTGTATTTATGGGTGTATGCATGTACATAAGCATATACGGACACTACTGCAATGTTCAGGCGAGCATGCGAACTTATTTAGGGCGAATCTGAGTTGGCGACAGACGCGATTCGTTCGTTAGCATTGCAGGCGAAAGCGATTTAATGATGCAGAATTTAATGGCTGATTTAAATTGCGCAGCAGTAGAAAATTTAATTGCATCGACGACGTGGCGTATACGTAACGTGAGCAGTGAAAACTTTCTCAGCGTGCGCGCGCGTGTATAGGTTGGCGCAGGTATGTATGTATGTATGTATGTATGTATGTATGTTTGTATTTAGTACCTTTGTGTCCCTGAAATTGTGATATCTAATTAAATGCTGTTTTTGTTGGCAATTACCCACACAGCTTATTCATTACACAGTGACTTGGCATTGGCGTTGGCGCTTCGCTCAGCTCAACAAGTACGGTTGCCGCCATTACGTAATGTATATTCGGTTGCTTTCATAACGACTGTGTTAGCTGGCTGGCTGTGGTTTGGTGTGTGGGTGTGTGTGCTCTGCACGATTTTCCGCTCATGTGCTACTAATTTTAGCTCATTACTCAAGCATGCATCATTGCGATGGCATAACGACAAATCGATGTTAACGGGCTTTGCACAGAACAAGAGCTTGCATTTTTGGATAGCCGAATGCTATTGAATGTGGATGAAGTATTGGATCTAAGTGAATATGCTATAGACAATATTGCTATGGAATTAGTTGGAAGTCATTCGAGATTTCACAGCTACGTAAAGAGCTTTAATTTGAACGTTTGTGAGCATGTAAATGATACATACTACGATAGTAATGTTCTAGCTAAATCTTCATTCTCTGTGGAGAATTCATGCGTACCACATATAAAAATCGACACTAAACTAGTTTGCTGAGGGAGAGATTTCTCTACAATATTGTAGGCCATCTTGTTGACAGATGATGTTACATATATTTTCAATACAACTATACCTCTCATGAACATGAAATTGTATCATAACTTTAGTCTCATAATTGCAAGTACCAGAAGAAGTTCAGATAGACACAAAAGCATACCAAAAGGCGCTGAGTCTATTTAGCCATGCTCGTCTTTCGATCTGATAGCCGGTTCTACGCAACCGAATGACCAAGGGGTGGACTACATCTTTAGTGGTCCCATGTTGCTCAAGCCAAGCGGCACTCAGTGCATTCCTGAGGAACCCAAAACTTACACAACGGCCTGGAGCCCTACATATTCAAACAGCCTTCACGGCTCATCGGAGCTTATTCCAGCAACATAAGTACAAATCTCCCAACCGCATAGCCTTACACCAACCCCGCTCCAGCTTACGTGTGAGGACAAACCAACAGCTTTTGGTCTCCAATACAGTCTGCTTCGTGTGTCAGTTTGGTGCGATTCCTGCCTCAGCTGGTGTCATTTCAAGGCCTGTTTTGGCCTGCGCATCGCTCGTGAATGAATAGGTGTCTAGCGTGGTTACTGCTGAAGAGATTAACAGCCGAAAATAGCACCAGCAATGCCTCCAATTACCGACACACGACAGAAGCCACAGCAGCGGCAAGCACAATAGTTGACATGTAGGCAACATCACTCATTCTCCAACCCGCGAATCGCGACCAGCCTCTCAGGGCATTCGAAGATCTTAGAACTTTCTCAAAAAAATTGCTAAATGCATTCATGTTGTTTTACACCAAAGCGTACCCACTGGCCATTTTTAGTAAAAATAAATTGCAGATTCAGATTTTTGGACCAGAAAACACTTCCAAAGGCCTTTTGGTGGCATTTTGGTAATATTTGCACTGAAATATATTTTAATTGTTTTAAATGCTGCTCTGAGACCACCAACTTCAGTTGAAAAAAAATGAATATTTTTCTATACCCAATCCTGGATTTCAGAAACACTTGGTTTTGTCTATTCCGTATACGACTGCCGAAAAGTGTAATCATTAAACAATTAACAGTGACACAAACAAATGACCACGAGTTGAGTTTTTTTAATATTCATAATTTTTTCGAGTTCTTTTTTTTTGTATTTTTCTATAAAAATGTTGTGCAAGCTTTAAAAGAACCAATAAATCTTAGTTTCAAACATTATAAAAATTTTAAGAAAATTCAACAAATCTTCATAAAAAATTAAATTTTTAAAACTGAATATTTAGAGAATTTTTTTCATTTAACTTTTGTGAAATGTAGTGCAATTTTTAATTGGCTAAAAAATTGCGTTGATTTTTGAGAGTTTTTTTTTTGTGACAGATTTTTGTCCTTTTTTCAATATAAGCATGAATTTCATATGAAATAAAATGCGGGAGACCGTTTGCACCAAAATTTCGAAATATTAACGCCAGTTTTTGTAAATTGCATTTATTATATAAAAAAAACCCGTAAAGCAGTCTCACAAAAAAAAAAATCAAAAATCAACACGGTTTTGAGCAGGTTGAAACTTGCACTCCATTATGGGCTATAAAACATGAGTTTTTCATCAAAATTTGTTGAATTTTCCTAAATTTTGTATAATGTTTGAAAAATGTAAAAAAAATTAACACATGACCACTTTTTTGAGTAATTGTAATCATTTTACACCCGAGTTTCGAATAGTTTTGATTTTTTAAAAGAAACATAAACTGTATTTCTTCAAAATTTAAAATACTTTGAGTCTATCGCCATCTGGGAAAAATTGTCACGTAATCTATCGTTTATTTTAACACACAAACCGCCATCTTTGCTTTGTTGTACCAAGCACACTTTACTCTGCAGTCTATATTTCATGCGTGCCCTCTAAACTTTTACAACATCCCGACTTGCTTATCAAAGTACAATTTTACCTCGATAGCTACGATTTTAATGCACTAAGCAGCTCGCTCCGCTCCATTCTGCGCCACGCGAGACCCACTCACTCATTTAACCCCTGACTGAGTTAAGTTCACAACCACAAATACTCTAAGCACAAACAATGTGTCTTCCAGCTGTTTAACTGTCGAGTAACGCGCGCTGCCCCAACATTTCTAAATATTTACAGACTTCATTCGAACCTTTGTGGCCGGTGTTGCCAAGCACATATGTACACGCCCAACACCCATATGTATGTATGTACATACATATGATTTCCCCCATTGCACCTCGTTCATCTTCCACTCGCTTACCTTTCTCAAATAGCGCGAAATTTTATCACCATGCTCCCACGGGTTCACCCAGCCCTTCGATGTGTTGCAGTCGAGTGCCCGCGGCGTATTGCTACCGCCACTGCCGCCACCAGGGCCAATACCTCCTCCGCCGCCGCCGCCGCCACCACCGCCACTGCCGCCGATACCGCTGCCCATGCCGCCAGCATTGCCGCCACCTGTCATGCCCATTGTACCGTTAATGGACGTGGAGGCCGCTGCCATAAGCGTTTGTTGACCTCGACGTTGGATGTTGTTGCGGAATTGATCGGGTTTCTTGCGCAGAATTTTGTTGAAAGCTTCGACGAGAACGAAAACGGCATCGTACATGAGGGCGGCCTGTGCCTGTAGGTTGAGTGAGAAAACGATATTGTAAATAAGTGGTAAGTGGGCGAGGTAAAGAAGTATGGTTTTTGTAATACATACATATTTACGTGGGAGTGTTAGGTTGTATTTTGTTTTTTTTTTTTTGTTTTTGTTTTTCTTGTTGGTTGATGTAGCGGAAACGGAAGGATATGTTAACATT